TAGTTGCAGTGTGCAGAATCTTTAGTTGCAGCATGCGAACTGTTAGTTGCGGCATGTGGGATCTAGTTCCCTGCCCAGGGATCAAACCCAGGCCCCCTGCATTGGGAGCACGGAGTCTTAGCCGTTGGAACACCAGGGAAGTCCCAGATGTTCATTGTTTAAAAAAATAGAAGTAACACCAGTAAGCAAAATATAAAAATAAGAATCACCTATAATCCACCATCCAGAGATAACTATTTAAGTATTTAATGTGTAAATTAAAATATATGTAATAATGCTTCATTGTCCAAAAATGGTATAATTCCATGTCTGTTGTTTTGAACCTGCTTTTTGACCTGTTTTTTAAAATTGAAGATCTCAGATGTATACATTCGTCCCTCTGTATGGAGGGTAGGATTGGTTTCAGGACTTAGCCCCCTTGGATACCAAAATCCATGGATGCTCTAGTTGCTTATACATAATGGTGTGATATTTGCATATAACCTATATACATCCTCCCATATACTTTATTATTTTTTGTTCTATAATATTTTTTATTGAAATATTGTTGATTTACAATGTTCTGTTGACTTTTTTGGTTTTATCATTTTTTCCTCCTATATGCTTTAAATCATCTGTTTTACTAATAATATTTAATACAATGTAAATGCTGTATAAACAGTTGTAAATACAGTGTGAATGTTAGGTAAATAGTTGACAGCAGGTGGCAAGTTCAAGTTTTGCTTTTTGGAACTTTCTGGAATTTCTTTCCCCCAATTTTTTTGGCCACTCTGCACAGCATGTGGGATCTTAGGTCCCCGACCAGGGGTTGAACCCATACCCCCTGCAGTGGAAGTGTGGGGCATTAATTTAACTTCCCTGGACCACCAGGGAAGTCCCCCCAGCCCCAGCCCCCAAAATGTTTTTGATCCTTGGTTGAATCTGTGGATGTGGAACCCACAGATACGGAGGGCCAGCTGTACTTTAATGGAAGCCTAAGGCTTACTTGTCCTCAGGGAGATTCAGAGTCATGTGGGATTATTCCAGTGTAGGATCTAACATTTAGGAAGAATTAAATTCCATGTGGACTACACAGATCACATTGTAAAGGGCACCAAGTTAGGGGTTGCTTCCTTTTCAAACACTTGTTTCGTTTAAATTCTGGGCACAGGGTCTAAACATTAATTATAATAAAAATATCAGACAAAAGGGTTAGGCACCCACTGAAGACTGTTTAGGTGGCCATTGAAAGTACTTTTATGATAACTGCAACGTCTCCAGTGTAGCCTAGATTATCACTTCTGATATAAGTGAATAGTCGTATATAAATTCATTGTATGTATACCACGATTTTAACTGGGTAAAAGTTATCCATGTGAAAATAAAAGTCTTGAAGGAAGTATTAAAAATTATTTTTCGGGGCTTCCCTGGTGGCATAAGTGGTTACAAATCTGCCTGCCAGTGCGGGGGACACGGGTTCAAGCCCTGGTCTGGGAAGATCCCACATGCTGCGGAGCAACTAGGCCCGTGCGCCACAACTACTGAGCCTGTGCTCTAGGGCCCGTGAGCCACAACTACTGAGCCTGCGTGCTACAACTACTGAAGCCCATGTGCTGCAACTACTGAAGCTTGTGTGCCTAGAGCCCACACTCCGCAACAAGGGAGGCCACTGCAATGAGAAGCCTGTGCACCACAACGAAGAGTAGCCCCCGCTTGCCGCAACTAGAGAAAGCCCGCACGCAGCAACGAAGACCCAGTGCAGCCAAAAATAAATAAAATAAATAAATGCATTTTAAAAAATTATTTTTCGTTGTGTGGGTGCGTGTGGTGGAAATGGGGTGGTTTTATTTGAAGTATTGGCCAAATTTTTATTATGTTACTCATTTTAATTATTTTGAAAAGTAGTGCCTGTACATATACCATAAATTTCAAACAGTATAAAAAGGAATCTAGTAAAAAATTTCATTGTCATCTTTAGAAATAAAAAATGTAAATAAACCCGAAAGACAAAATATTTACATGTTTTACTTCGACTCTGTTAAGGTTTTAGTTCAATATACAAAATACATCTAAAGAAACTCAGATTTTCTAGTAAACTTAAAAACTGCATAGAACGTTGAATTAGCATGTTCAGATGCTTATTGAAGATGGAATTTTAATTTTAAAAATTTATTTTTAAAATTTATTTATTTATTTTTGGCTAAGTTGGGTCTTCGTTGCTGCGCGTGGGCTTTCTCTAGTTGTGGCGAGCAGGGGCCACTCCCCGTTGTGGCGTGCAGGCCTCTCGTTGCTGTGGCTTCTCTTGACACGGAGCACGGGCTCTAGGCGCGCGGGCCTCAGTAGCTGTGTCTCAGGGGCTCGAGAGCGCAGACTCAGTAGTTGTGGCACGCAGACTCAGTAGTTGTGGCTCACGGACCCAGTTGCTCCACAGCACATGGGATCTTCCCAGACCAGGGCTCGAACCTGAGTCCCCTGCATTGGCAGGCGGACTCCCAAACACTGCACCACTAGGGAAGCCCTTTAATTTTTATTGATATTTGGAGAAATGCGTATGAGAAAATGCCTGTAATTTTTGAAGGTTGGCATTTAGCTTTCATCAGCATCTAACGTAAGTAAGTAAGAACTTCCTGGTGAAAAGAATGGCACTGATTGCATTGGAAGTTTCAAAAGCTTTTGAGATTAGTCGATTAGTATAAATGAATTCAGTATCATGGTTAGGGAGAAAAAGAAATTTTTTCAGTAGGTGCATTTTGTTTTTTCTGTCTAAATATTTAATACTTGTTTTGGCAAGTTGGTATTACTCTGGTTACAGTCTTGTGGTGGTGTGTTTTTCGTAAGTTTCAAAACCAGAGCTAATGTTGAGCCAGTGTCCTGTCTGTGCTGATGGATCAGCTGTCCCGGCTCCTTGTCTGTAAACCTCTTGCTGGGCAAGCTGAACCTTGGGCTGAGAGCAGCAAGCCTGGAATGGGTGCTGCCCCCTTTCAGCAGGGACATATTGTGGGCAGGGTGTCCTGGATGGCTGCTCTAAATATGACACAAACCAGAGAGCCAATAACATTTTAGTATTATTAGCTGTAAATTACTTGAAGTAGTGTCATGATGCATATTAAGTCCTTTTGCATACAGTGTCTGTATGTCTGTTATTTGGGATTTCTAAAATCCCAGGTATTTTTAGCTATTTTCTTGAAGTCCCAGCTATTTTTTAAAGACCCATGTCTTCAGAAGGATTTAAGGATATATAACTCCTGTAATTCTAGTTTGTTAAATGACCTACTTTGCTTTTTCTTTTGTTGGATAATTTTTAAAAGCATTTACAAAAGTTTTAGAGCCTTCTGTGCCCACAGGTAAATAGTCCTGCTGTAGTCAGAAGTGAGCTTGCCTGTTCATATCCCTGTTTTGAGCTAGGGCTCCATGGTGTTGGGACCTCACCCAACCTCACCTCATCCATGGTGTGGATGTCAGAGGCTTTGATGATCCATTGTTCTTTTTTATTTCACATACTTTACTCTGATTTTTCTTTAAGCGAGTTTAACCAGCTTAAAGCCTAAAATTCCGGTTATGAATGATGTGGTAGCACCTGTTGGCTGAGTCTGTTGGCAGGTGGTTTATGTGTTTGGACCAGAGGCATTGTTCAGGACTCTAAAGGCCTTTATTGCCATAAATCACTGGGTCAGTAAACAGAACAGTGGCTTAGCATTTTACTGTCACTAGCAATCCAAGGATGTTTTATAAACCTTTTTGTTTAGATTAAGCTTCCTGCCAGTGAACTGATTAATCATATATATTTTAATTTTTTAATTTTGAATTTTTTAATTAAAATTTTTTATTGAAGTATAGTTGATTAACAATGTGTTAATTTCTTCTGTACAGCGAAGTGACTCAGTTTTGTATATATATTTATATTCCTTTTCATATTCTTTTCAATTATGGTTTGTCACAGGATATTGAATATAGTTCCCTGTGCCATGCAGTAGGACCTTGTTGTTTATATATTTGACAAGTTAATTGGTAATTTTGGGCTTCCCTGGTGGTGCGGTGGATAGGAGTCCGTCTGCCAATGCAGGGGACATGGGTTCGATCCCTGGTCCAGGAAGATCCCACATGCCGTGGAGCAGCTAGGCCCGTGCGCCACAACTACTGAGCCTGCGCTCTAGAGCCCGAATGCCACAACTACCAAAGCCTGCGTGCTTAATTAAAGCCTGTGCTCTGCAACAAGAGAAGCCCCCACTCCCCGCAACTAGAGAAAGCCTGCGTGCAGCAACGAAGACCCAACACAGCCAAAAAACATTTTTTTAAATGGTAATTTTAATTTTACTCATAGATTACTTGAGCCACAATAAAAGTAAATAAAAATTTACACTGATTAGAGAGATTAGCATTTCCTTTGAAAGCCTACTAAAGTAACTTTAAAAACTTCAACCAGTGAGAATATTTTTCTCACTTGACAAACAGATGAGGATGGTTCGAAGGTGTGAGTTGCGGGAGAGATCTGATCAGAGGATGGCTGGCCTCCTGGCTCTGCCAGAGTTGATGGCTGGCTCTGTATTAGGTCCATCCTGGAGCTCCTGACCACGCCCGCACAGGAGCACAGGTCTTCATCTGGGAGAAGCGGGAAGCACAGCCAGCCCAGGGCACCTCTTTGGCCCCAGTGTTCTGGAGTAGGAGCTCTCAATAAGATTTTTTAAAAACATGTGAATCACAGATGATATAAAAACTCTTAAAAGTCAAAAGGAGGGCTTCCCTGGTGGCGCCGTGGTTGAGAGTCCGCCTGCCGATGCAGGGGACGCGGGTTCGTGCCCCGGTCCGGGAGGATCCCACATGCCGCGGAGCGGCTGTGCCCGTGAGCCATGGCCGCTGAGCCTGCGCGTCCGGAGCCTGTGCTTCGCAACAGGAAAGGCCACAACAGTGAGAGGCCCGCGTACTGTAAACAAACAAACAAACAATAAATAAATAAAATCAATTAAAAAAAAAAAGTCAAAAGGAAAAGAGACCAAAGCTGATAGAAAAATGAACAAGAGATATGAAGACATTGCACAGAAGATACACAAATGGCCCTTAAATATATGAAAAGATGCTCAGCTTCGCTTATGATAAAAGAAATGCAAATTAAAATCGCTGGGATAGCATTTCTCACTCTTGGCATATATGTAAAAGCTTGAACACATTCTCTTGGTGACGTTTTGGGAAACAGGCATGCTCTTGTATTGCTGTGGGAGTGCAGGGTGGTACAGTCCTCTTGGAGGGGAGCTTGGCATTATCTGTGTGTGCATTTACCCTCAACTTCACAGTCCCACTTCCAGTCATTTACCCTGAGGATATACCTCCCCAGGTGCGAAACACCAGATGCATGGGGTTATTCATTGCAGCATTATTTGTGATATAAAAATGGAAACAACCTAGATGTCCACCCAGGATGAGTGAACCAAGGTACATCAACTTAACTTAGAACTGTACAGCTGCAAAAATAAAAAAGGAAGATTTCTATGAACTGGTAAGAGTTATTTCTAAGATGTATTAAGTGAAAAAAGAAAGTATTGATACAAATTAATATGCATACTATGTGGTAGGAAAGAATGGGTGCTTATATGAGGCCTGCTAGAGTAAACAATGGGGATAGAAAGTAGAATTGTGGGTGCCGGGGGAGGGGGATTAGTGTTTGATAGGTAGAGTTTCAGTTGAGGAAGATGAAGAAGTGCCAGAGATGGATAATTGTGATGGTTGTACAACAGTGTGAATGTACTTAATGCCACAGAGCTGTATACTTAAAAATGGTTAATTTACCCCAACTTAAAAAAGAAAAAGAGGAAAAAAAAAAAAAAAAAGATCTGAGGTCCAGAACACTGAGTGATGGACTTCAGTCTTCAGTTCAGAGGAGGAGGAACTGACAGGAAGAAGAAGGACCCTCCTGGCCCCCAGAGCAGGCTCTTCTCCTAACCTACCCTCTCAGCCTCTAGTCTGATCCTCAACCCGTCCGAGGTTTCCATAGTCAGAGGCTCTAGGACAGGGCCTGACTGAAAAGAAAAGAGGGGAGAAAGAATGTGAAATAAGAAAGAAGAGGAAGTAAGAATATGTGTATATTGTAAGTCAAGTATACTTCAATAGAAAAAAATTTTGACTATATATATCTGCTTCTCTTTGCAAAAAGAAACATAGGAAGGATAGACTAGAAACTAATTAAAATAACTTATCCAAGTAGGTGAGGGCAAGTGGTAAGGGATCTGGATGGAAGTGAAACTTATCCGAGTATGCCTTTTTATATAATTTTGACTTTTTGAACCATGCAGATATTCTGCATATTCAAAAAGTAAAGCAACAATGATAGAAAAAAAGACTAATATTGAATTCAAATAGAAACAGGTGAACCTAGAAGTATATTGAATTAATAACATAACCATATAAGAAAGAGTAATTCCAGTTACACACACAGTACTCTGTATTCCTTTAGTGGGATATATTCAGAAGAAAAAAAGAACTACAGAGAAATATACTACAGAGTAGGTTTGTTGTTGATAGATCAGAGTAGTAGTTCTGAACTGACTTTGGCCATATTTTAGGATAAAATGAGCACATGTACTGGTGTTGGGAACCAGAGTTCCCTGGGAGGAAGGAGATGAAATGTGAAGAAGAGGTGAGGAAGGACCCTGCTGTCTGGTGATTTAAATCGGAGGTATGAGTATGAATACATGATTAACAAACATTCCTAACCCTGTTTTCTGAGAAGGTCTAGGGGCAATGATACCCCAGTAGCACTGAGTACACCTAGTCCCCAGATTTTGGTTGCCAAATACCATTTTCCACTAAAGGGATCAGGGATCCTTGGAGAAATGACGTATTCCAGATTCTGGGCAGGGAAAATTCAATGTGAGCCTGGATTATCTTGTACCAGAAAGCAAGGAAGTGTTCAAAAATTGATGGGGACATGCCAAAAAAAAAAAGAGCAGCTTGAATGGGTTCCTAATGGGCAAATCTGGGGCATTTTGAGCACAAAAAAGAATAACGATCATGGATACATTGAATTTAAAAAGTCCATGGCACAGAGAATAAAAATCACTCATAGTGATACTCCAAAGGGGGTGCATGGGGCTTCTTATAGACAAATGCCAGTTAAGGTAGAAAGTCGGAAAGATTTAGACAATCAGTATTTTGCAACCACCAAGGTAATAATTGATTCAGGCAAGGATCATCAGTGGTTGTCAAAAAACGTGGTTTAAACATTTTGTTGGTGGCAGGGACGGCAGGATACTCACACAGTCTAAAGTGTCTTTCCAGTGATGATTGATTACAAAGGGAAAAGATCTCTTTACGTTGGAGAAGTCTGGTGGATTCCGCCTTGAGCACGTGATCAAACTCAGACTCTCCGGTAGTGGACAGACTATGCCCCTCCATGGGATGCAGTGGGAGGGACAACATTCTTGCCAAAAATGTTTGACCTGAGTCAAGTAATGAGAAAAAAGTCAGACACATGCTGTAGGGCATCTACAGGACAGCTGCTTGGACTCCTCAAATATGAGTGTTGTGGAACTTCCCTGGTGGTCCAGTGGATAAGACTCTGTGCTCCCAATGCAGGGGCCCCAGGTTCGATCCCTGGTCGGGGAACTATATCCCACATACATGCCACACTAAGAAGTCCACATGCCGCAACTAAAGATCCTGAGTGCTGCAACTAAGACCTGGTGCAGGGCTTCCCTGGTGGCACAGTGGTTAAGAATCCACCTGCCAATGCAGGGGACACGGGTTCAAGCCCTGGTCTGGGAAGATCCCACATGCCGCGGAACAACTAAGCCCATATGCCACATCTACTGAGTCTGTGCTCTAGAGCCCGTGAGCCTAGAGCCCATGCTCCGCAACAAGAGAAGCCACCACAATGAGAAGCCCGCACATAGCACAAAGAGCAGTGCAGCCATAAATAAATAAATAATGACCTGGTGCAGCCTAAATAAATAAATAAATATTAAAAAAACCCTCATATAATAAAATATCAGTGTCGTAAAAAGGGTCGGACACGTAGATTGAAGAAGACTAAAGAATCATGACCACTAAGGCCTGGCCCTTGACTGGATGCTGGATTAAAAGAAAACAAAACTACAAAGGCCATTATTGGGATGGTTGGGAAATTTTGAGTATAGATGGAACACTTGATAATAACAGTGTTAAATTCCTTGTGGGTCATAATACTGTTGTCATTATGTAGGGGGGTCTTGTTCCTAGGAAATACATGCTGGAAGGGTTAGAGAGGTATCAGGACGTCTGTGGTTTACTTTCAGCAGTCCCACAGAAAAAGCACGTGTGTGGAAAGAGACTTATAGCAAATGTGGAAAGACGTTAGTCATTGCTGACTCTAGGGGAGGGATGTAGGTGTTTCTTGTGTTCCTCGAACTTTTTCAGTGAGCTTGACGTATTTAAAAATAAAAAGGAAAAATACAATATGGGAAGTTCATTGATGTAATCTACACTACATCTTGTACGGAATGTTAGGTTGTGTGGCTTTTATCAATCTTAAAAACAACCAACAAAAAGAAACAAAAAACTCCTTTATTCCCAAACAAGTGAAAGGAATGTTACACCTATGCACCCAGGTTTTCCTTCTTATTGACTCAGTGCCCCGTCTAGCATTGTTGGTTCATCGAGTACACAAGGTATGCAGTGACCCCTCTCTTTGACACAGGGGTTGAAATGGGAAATTAAAACTCCTCTTAAACTAGGAATAGCTTGTGATAAAACCATATTCTTATTTATCAGGAGATTCTGCTCCCCCAAGGGGCGTGAATATCTTGTTCAGCCCAGAGTCTCACTGAGAAGGGAATTTAGAGAGAGCCCCTTTCCTCTCTCTGGTGACAGTACTCAAATGGGATAAACCCATACTTGAACAAATGTGTGAAAGGACCTTAGAAATGCTTAGGGAGCTAAAAATAACTTCTTGTTTCAGGGCAACTTCATGTATTTTATGCTTTGTGTTTTGTCATGAAAATGGCTGGGTGCTGCTGTGGAGCGTGTACATACACATACCTTAAGTGTATATGGCGGGTGTTGCACATTGCGGTCCTGAGGTTCGTTCACTGTGGGTTTTAGATATCAACAGAGTGCAGCAGAATGGACTTGTGTGGGGTTGGTTTAAGCCACAAAGATCCTGTCGTCACTGCTAGTGATGTAGAAAGCCTTTAAAGATGGTACAGTGTAGGGCTTCCCCGGTGGCGCAGTGGTTGAGAGTCCGCCTGCTGATGTAGGGGACACGGGTTCGTGCCCCGGTCCGGGAAGATCCCACATGCCACGGAGTGGCTGGGCCCGTGAGCCATGGCCGCTGAGCCTGCGTGTCCGGAGCCTGTGCTCTGCAACAGGAGAGGCCACAACAGTGAGAGGCCTGCATACCGCCAAAAACAACAACAACAAAAAAGATGGTACAGTATATATTGTGACCTTTGGGTGATGGGCAGGAGACTCCTTGTGTATGTAGGTTGTCAATGCCTTAGACCACTGATTCATCAACTTTTTATCTCAGACTCCTGTACATTGTTCAGTGTCGTTAAGTACCAAAGAGCCTTCGTTTATGTGGGTTATTTCTGTTGGTCTCTGCTGTATTAGAAAGTAAAACTAAAAACATCTTTTTTTTTTTTGCTGTGTGGTGCGGCATGTGGGATCTTACTTCCCCGACCAGGGATCGAACCTGTGCCCCCTGCTTTGGGAGCGTGGAATCTTAACCACTGGACCACCAGGGAAGTCCCTAAAGTATCTTTTTATTAGTTCATTAAAAAATAATCTATCACATGTTAACATTAATGGCATATTTTTGAAAAATAACTTTTCTAAAATAGCGAGAGGAGAGGCATTATTTTACATTTTGGCAAGTGTCTTAAATGTCTGGCTTGATTGACGAGAGCTGGTTTGTTTAATATCTGCTTCTGCAAGTGATCTGTTGTGTCATGTAGCCTCTGGAAAACTCCACGGTACATTCGGGAGAAAGTATGATGAAAGAAGGCAAAGGACGTCTTAGGATGTTATGGAACTAGCGTTGATTTTGCAGACCCCCCTTCCTCAGACACTAGGGTCCCCTGGGGTCCCTGGACCACTGGTTGGTTGAGAACAGCTGTCTTACACTCCTGAAGTGGCTGAGTTGTGGCCTGATCTCACATGTTTACACGCATCCGAATCACCTGTAGATCCCGTAGTCACTGGCTGCTGGGCTGCCCCAGAGTGTCTAATTGATCTGGTCTGAGTGGGGCCTGTTTCCTTGGCACAGTTCCTGGCGATGCTGCTGCCCCTGGTCCTGAGGTCATGTTTGGAGAGCCACTGTCCCAGAGAGTTCTGAAGATGTTTGCATCTCTTTAAAGACCACGCTCCCCAGTCATATTTTAACATGCCTCTTTTCCTCACTGCTGTATTTATCTGGACATTAATTTCACCAGTGTTTACTTGGGGCCCACTCTGCCGGCCCCTCAGGAGGCCTCCGGGCTGCCCTCTGCCCTCTCTGCTTTGTCTGGTAGAAAATCACAGACAAGAAGCCAGGACCCCGGCGGAGAAGTCTATTCACCTTGGCCCGTTCTTCCTGCCGTGTCCCTGCTACTCTCTCACTTCAGCTTACTACGTGTGTTTGGTAATTACTTTATATTCTTTCTTTCTTTCCTTCCTTCCTTCCTTCCTTCCTTCTTTCTTTCTTTCTTTCTTCTTTCTTTCTTTCTTTCTTTCTTTCTTGCTGTGTTGGGTCTTCGTTGCTGCATGCAGTCTTTCTCTAATTGCGGCGAGCGGGGGCTACTCTTCATTGTGGTGCGCTGGCTTC